TTTATATTATTTGGGTTTGACTGCACATTATATTGATGATGATTGGTGTATGCATAAACGTGTTCTTGCTTTTCGTGAATTTAATGATCGACTCATCGGTGATAATATTTATATTCTCATTGAGCGTATTTTAATTGAGTATAATTTGATTGATAAGGTGTTTGCTATTGGTTTTGATAATGCTACTAATAATACTGCGGCTATTCCTAGATTGCGTGAATTGTGTGGTTCATCTTCTTTGATGGGCAGATTTTTTCATCAGCGTTGCGCATGCCATATTTTAAATTTATGTGTAAAGGATGGACTAGCGGCATTGGGAGATGCTATGGAGGTGGTGAAGGGGGGGATTAAACTTATTTGGGCTAGTAATCCACTTAAGATGCAATGGAGAAATTATTTGAAAGAAAGGCGTGTCAAATATTGTGCTTTTCCTAAAGATTTGTCTATTCATTGGAATAGTACTTATAACTTAATTAAAGTTCTTATTAGATTTAAAAACCATTTTTCTGCTTTTTTAAAAGAATATGCTAACTACATTATAAACCCGGCCGACATCGACACTTGTGAAAAAATTGTTATTGTTTTGGTGTATTTTAATAATGCAACTGAAATTTTTAGTCATGTTTATAAACCTACCGCAAACCAATTTTTTGTTGAAGTTGTTAATCTCGCCGGTGCTTTTTCTGAATTTTCTGATGCCGCTTACGTTAGTTATTTTTGTGACTTCATGAAACAAAAGTTTTTAAAATATTATTCCTATATTCCGCATATATATAGTATTGCATTTATTCTTGATCCTCGTTTTAGACTTGCTTCTTTGGAGCAATGTTTAGATTACTATTATGCTTCTTTTTTTGGTCCATTGCCTATGTACGACGACAAGGCCATAGACCCTAAACAACAATTCCAAGAGGTTAGTAATTTATTATATCAATTATTTAATGAGTTTCATGCACAATATGGTAACACACCTCCTCCCCCGCCACGAACATCTTCTTCATCTAATGCCCCAACCCGCCCCGACCCGTGACGGGTTATGATTTATGTGGGTTGGGTCGGGCCAACCTGTTTAATGACAGGCTAGATTTTCTACAACCCTGATCCAATGCGCCTAACCTACGGGCTAAACAGTGTAATTATAATTATTTTGATAGTAAAAGAGCAATATTTAAGATAATAAAAATCAAAATCATATGTTTGTATATTGGCCCGCGCGCCAACCCGCAACCCCGTGGGCCAACCCACTTAAACCCGCAACCCGTGTGGGTTGACAAGCGAAACCCGCGAACTAAATGAGTCAGAAAATCACAACCCTAACCCACCAATAAATGGGTTTAAATGGGTCAGCCTGCGGGTTTCGGCCCATTTTGACGGCTCTAGTTTCAATGCACATAGGGGTGGACTCGATTCGGGCGCCTGGCCCGGAACCGGGAAACCGACCCGGCCCGGGATTGTTTAGAACTGGCCCGGCCCGGGAAACCGGTTCCGAGCTTAGGCCTGGCCCGGGGGGTAAGCGGTTCCGGTTCCTGGCCTTGAAAAAGGCGAACCGGCCGGTTCAGGCCTTTTCTTTTGGGTTTGGGTTGGGTTTAGTTGGGCTGGGCTTAGGGATGGACCCGGGCCGGTTCCGGTTCGGGCCTGGGCCCGGTCGGGCTTTTTTTTTTTACGAAGGAAGAACCGGAACCGGCCCGGGTAGGCAACGGTTCCGGGCCGGGCCGGTTCACTTCTTATTTTTTTTAATTTTCTTTTGCTTTTCTAATTAACCCCCGCCCCCTTCACACCCCCACCCCTTAACCCCCCCAAAGCACCCAACCTAACCCAGGAAAAACGAAAAAAAATTGAAAAAAAAAAAATAAAATAAAAAATAAAAAGGCCCGAACCTGGCCCGGCCGGTTCACCTTTTTCATGACCCGGGCCCGGAACCGCTTAACCCCTCGGGCCTAGGCCGGAACCGGAACCGGTTTTCCGGGCCGGGCGGCCCGAACCGAGTCCATCCCTAACTGAGCTGGGTGTTTCCGAGGGGTTTGGGGTTGGGGGGGATGGGGGTTCAAATAAATAAGAAAGCAAAAAAAAAAGAAGACCGGAACTGGCCCGACCCGGAATCGGTAGACTCCGGGCCAGTTCCGGGCCTTACCCATAAGGCCATAACCCTCCAAGCCCGGCCGGGCCCGAATCGGAACCGGACCGGGCCCGGTCCACCCAAATGCAAAGTCTGATTTCAATCACTTTCATCAGTTCTTCTTCTGATGAAAGTATATATTTCAAGTTTAGACTGTTCTGTATTTTCCCTATTATGAACCAATCTATTTTCCAAAACTAAGAGTTGTGTGCTTCCATTGACACTAAAGATGTTTTTACTTGGACTATTTTCAGTTTCAGGCCAAAACTTGGATAGTTGGATAGTTATAAAATACACAGAGACCAGACATTTACTAGAACAGACCAACAAATTTCAGTCCAAGAAAAAACATCCTAACATTAGGATGAGGCGATGAGTGAGTTAATTATATATCTTACAGGTAATACTTGTAAATCATATTATATAACAATTTTATAGTTGGTGTGCTTGAAGAGAAAGCTTAACATAATGCAGTTTTGTGTGCTTAGCTTGAAGAGAAAGCTTAAACGAATGCAGTTTTGTGTGCCTGGAGAGAGCTCATTTGGTGAGTAATGATTTTATCTCCCTTCATCGTCTGCATTTTCTCCTATTTTTCTTTGTGCTCTCATATTTCATTGTCTCTAAATGACACTCTGGAATCTGGATGATGGGTCAAAAGTGGAAGAATGAGGCAAAATTTAATGTGAGCAGCTTTTTAGAATTTCAAAGGAACTTGTCAGATTGAGAATGTTTGTAACCATTGTGTTTTAATATATTCTCAATGTATTGTTTTTATCAATCACTTGGTCATGATTGATTATCCTTATGGAAAACATAGGGGATGGTTTTAGTCAGGGATATGGAATACTTGGTCAATTACATGTATCACTTGGTAAGTTGGTACGATCAAGCTTGCAACTAAAGTAACAAAGAAGTATGTTAAGTTCATTTTTCCTCTATCTATATGGATGTAAAGACTTGGATGCCGCTCCACCGCCACAACATCTTCGTGGGGATAAAAAGATCACATGGATTTATCATTTTAAAATCAAGTATGCATCACTTTACATCAGCCGTATTTATAACTAATATTTATTAGGAATAACAATATATATTATACTAAGAAAAGATGCATGCTAAAAAAAGTACTCATATTATTTCTTACATGCTTAATTTATTTGTATGAGCAGAACATTTCCTCAGCCAAACCCAGGATTGCTTTAGGAGTCTTTTTCATCAATTATGATAAAGGTTCCCCAACTCATTGATTTCGACAATAAAATGAATATTATCAAGGAGAATGAAGAAAAGTTAGTCAACCCTAAAGAATTGTGTGTTAAGATGCATAAAAAGAAATGTTATGAAGGAGAGCCAAATTATATAATAGATATATCTAATACATTGAAATACTAGCTAGATTGAATTACATAATTGTAGTGACACTTTTATACATTATTTTTTGGTTTCTTTTTGGTGTATTAAATGTGTTGCTTTTTGTTGCATCATGATGTTTTTTGTTAGACCGTATTGTTTTTTGTTGCATTGTGTCACTTATTTTTGTTTTATTGTTGATCATGATTTTTGTTGTTTATTTTGATTTTTCTTCATCTTCGCTACCTCTTTGAAGCAAAAAAAATCATATATAGATTTACATTTAATCATCGAAATCGATAAATTTGAATTTATGAATAATCAACCACATGAAACATATAGAAATTAATTATTGAAAAAATCAGAGTTATTAAGAAAAGGAAAAAATGAAACAATAAGCAACAAAAACAAACAACAAAATTATATACGGAGTAGTAAGTAATGTTTAATTTTGTAACAAAAGATATAATGGCTTCTATATTATTACCATTGGACTTTCTAATTCCAAAAATATCACCTTAATCTTATTTTCCAAAAAGTGTCTTTTTAATTAATGTAAACTAGACATCAGATCTATCTCTATGACTATCAGCAAAGATCTATCTCTATCGCATAAGGAGACCAACCGACCCCATCGCTTCTAGCTTCCTGTGGACTCAGGGATGGACAGTGGCCATGGATCTCCTTGCATCTCTTCTAGAGTTCTAGTGACGCCCTCGCCGTACTGTAGCTTCCCCTTCTCCTTTCTTCTTCTACACAGAATCTCAAGCTAGGATTAGGGATGGACCGGGATCGGTTCGATCGGTCCGGTGTCTGTCCCACCCCGGTACTGTCTAGTACCGGCCCCGCCCGCCGACCAAGACCGGTCCACTGGGCCCAAACCGTGGGGATATATAGGCGTGCTACAGGTGTGGAAAGAGGGACCGGCCCGAGCCAATTTTTTTTTATTTTTTGTTTTGGGCCTCTGCTAGGTGGGTTGGGCCGGGTGTTTTCATTGGGTTTGGGGGTAGGAATAAATTAGAAAAGCCAAAAAGAAAAAAATTAAATGACCCAGCCCGACCCAGGCCCGGCCCAATCCCGGCAGAATCTCATGCTGGTACCGGGCCTTAGGCCCAAAAATTCTGTTCTGCTTTTGACCGGCCCGGTCCCGGTCCATGTCTAGCTAGGGTTAGAGCGACGGCCGGGAAAGGGAGCTTGTTGCGTTAAATAGAACTCACAGCAACTCCGCAGAGACTTGCTGTGACACATGACGTTTGAATAGTTCAGTGATATTATATTATCAATCACCAGTACAAAGCTCCAAAATTACTCCAGGACCCCAGATAATTTTCCATTATCACATGGCGTTTGAATAGTTCACTGATACATAAAGTTAGCAGCAAAACTGGAACATGGGTAGAAGTTACATTGAACGGCATACGAATAGGCAAGAAAAGAAAATAGAAAGCAAGACACTGAGAAACGTCAATTGATGAAAAACTTAAGTATCAAAGGTTTTTTTAACTTGTAATTGTCACATTTTTACCCAAAAAAACTTGTAATGGTCACATTAACGCAAAGGAGGTGACTCCTCTCATGTAGTTTTGCAACAAAAGAGATGTATAGTGGTGTTCACTCATCTTCCTGGCTGCGCAACCTAGCCAATTTGTTAGTCACTGCAACATCTAACTGGGCCGCACGCTCAACAATTTCTTTCCGCTTCTTGGTTGAAACATTGTGGGCAATCTCAGCACAGTAAGTCTTGAAATATGTATATCACATTTAGCACTGCTAATAATTACAAACCTGTTGTGCATCATTAAGAGTTCCAACTCTAGGACGTTATGCACAACGAACTTCTTGAATCCATTAGGCAGATAATGGCGGGTTTTCTTGTCTGAGCCATAGCCGATGTTAGGCATCAAAGTGCATCCTTTGAACTTTCTCCTCACACAGGAGTCCATACCCTTGGGCCTACGCCAGTTTTCCTGCCACAATAAAAACACATTAAACCGCCAAGTAAATCCAGCGCATAGAAAATGTCAAAACTCAAAACAGACTCAAAATGTTACTATCGACCAATATGGCCAGCTTGGGCAGAGCCATATTCTTGCCAGACGAGAGAAAATCCATATAGATGGGAGATTGAAAATTGAAGCTTCCATTGATGAAGATACATGGGCCCGTTTCAAACCATGCATAATAAACAAGGTGGGGAACAATATTTCATTAAAAATAAAATGTTGAAGTGGCAACTCAACGAAGCAAAGAATCATGGGAAGAAAATAGTACTACCTCTATCCCGTTGGAGGATTCCCATAGCAAAACGACACGGTTATTTAGACAATAATTAAATAAAGTACTTCACATATTTTTGAGAAATAATTTTAATAGATATATATTATAATGTAGTTAGTATTGATAATTGTGATGTTATAAATGTATTATTTTTAATGTTTAATGATTAATTTGTCACTTAAGATTGTTAATTGTTTCCTAAAATGAAAATGGAAACCTTTATATGGGAGGTCCAAAAAAGGAAAGTGGGAATCTTCTGATGGGACGGAGGGAGTATGAGTAATTAGAGGGGACATAAATTAGACATGATAGCAGGGTATTCCTGTGACAAGATCACATGTTCAACTTCAACCCCCGAGGGAAAGTGTCAAACTGTCGTGTAGAAACTTCTCTCATAAGTCATAATGTCCTATTGTAATGTCCCTCTGAAATTAATCACAGTCAGGGGCGGACCGTAGTACAGACCCAGGGGGCGGTCGCCCCCCAACAACAAAATTTTTTAGTGTATATATATAATAAAAAATAATTTTCACCCTCCCAAAAAATATTTTGTTTAAGTTACCGCCCTCCCAAGACAAACTTTCTCGGTCCGCCTATGATCACAGTATACCTTAGCAGAGATGTAATGGTCACTCTGTGGCCTCTTAGGGAGTGTTTGCGATTGCTTCCACTTTTAAAAAGTGATTTTTTAAAGTGATTTTGGAAAAAGTGATTAATAGTAAAAGTTGGTAGTGTTTGAGAAAAAAGTGATTCTGAAAAAGTAAAAGTTGGTAGTGTTTGGTAAAATAAGTACTTTTTGTGTAATAGAAAAAGTGAGAAGCAGTTTAAAGCACCCTTCTACCTGCTTCCAGCTTTTAGCTTTTAAGTGATTAATTTAAACAGAAGCTATCATTTGAAAACACTCTTTTCAACTTTTTTTAAGCCAAAAGCTGAAAAGCACTTTTTTTAATCTACCCCAAACACTGCTTTAAACTTTCTTGTTGACGCGCTTTTTCACAATCTTCTTGTTTAGCAACGGAACAGCCATTGTTTCTGAAAAAATTAGGCATAAGCATAACTTTGAAATGCAGTCCAAAGATATTCAACTTTACAAAACAAACGAGCAGCTCATTAGTTCTTGTGAAACAAAGAAAATTGAGCATTAAAGATTTTATGTACAGTGAACTTAGAGCCAAGGCATACAATAATTCATAAAACTGTGATTCCCTCCTCAAACCCACTTAGGAACTTACTCCTTACGTTATATTTAAAATCACAAGAATGAAATTATAAGTGCCCAACGAAAAATAAACATTTCCTACTTTCAGTAATTGAAGAATTCAATTCATAGCTTCCATGAAGCTTCCTTCATGTGCAAGAATGACAAGGGGAGCTTCCTCAACCACCATTGAAGCTTCCTCATGTTCCATTGAAGCTTCCTCCTAGCTTCAACACATCTTCCTCCCACCTTCATAGTACCTAGTTTTGGTGCTATAAATAGAGAGCTTGGAGAGTCTTTCTATCATCAAGTAAATTAGAATAGATCATCATAGCACAACCAAGAAGAGTTGTGAATATCCTTGAGAGATATGTGAGGTGTTGTTTTGAGAGTTTTTAGTTAGAGCTTGTATGTCTCTTCTTTCTATTCTTGAAAGTAATAGAAGTGTTTTTCTCTCATATTAGCACGATCCTGTTATTCCCAACAAGTGGTATCAAAGCCTGGTTGAGCTTTTGATACTTTTCCCAGATTTTTTTCAGATAAAATTCTACTGTCTGAAAAATCGAGTTTTTCAGTATTGCTCGGAATTGCAATCTGAATATACCGTTGGATTCGTCTCGTCGAGACGAGAAAACTGGTATTTTTGGGGATTTTTTTGGCCACCGGAAGCTTCCGTACGCGCCGCCAAACGCCGGCCAAAAACTGCCTGCGTCATGCTGACGTCATCACGCGCAGACAGAGGTTGAAGATAGCTGACGTCATCGCTGACGTCATCAGCCAGCCAGAGCTGCGTCAGCGACACGTCAGCGCCACATGTGCAGTCCCAGCACAGTCAGCCGCCACGTCACCAGTCAACTGCCAACTTTCACCAGCGCCCAGTCAGCTGCCACGTCATCGCCCAGTCACCGCCACGTCACTGCCACGTCATCTGCCACGTCACCGGTCAGTTTGTAATTTTGAAAATTTGCAGTTTGGTCCCTCAATTTTTGGAAAATTATAATTTCCACCTATAATTTTTCAAAAATTGTATTTTGACCCCGAAAGTGCCTACCCACCACTTTCGGCCGTTCCGGACGCAACGGTGCTGCCCGTTTTTCGAAATTCGGCTCCGATTTTTCTGAAACAGAAAATCAAAATTATTTAGAAGGTGAAAATGACCTTTGACGAGTCAACTTCATCTTCCGGAGCTATGATTATGCTCACGGCTACCAACTACACGCTATGGAAACCTCGGATGGAAGATTTCCTTAGCTGTAAAGACCTTTTTGATCCAGTAGAGATGAAAGGTATTAATCCTGACCCGGCCAAGTCAACGGAGTGGAAGAAAATTAATAGAAAAACTATTGGTCAAATCCGACAATGGATTGACCATAGTGTCTTCCACCATGTTGCACAAGAGACCGACGCTTATGCCCTTTGGAAGAAGTTAGAAGATATGTACCAGGCCAAGACCGCTAGGAACAAAGCCTTACTGATGAGGCGTCTTGTCAATATGAAGCTCAAAAGTGGAACTTCTGTTGCTGAACATACTAGTCAATTTCAGAGTCTGGTAAATCAACTATCTTGTGTAGAAATGCCACTTGGAGATGAAATGCAATCTCTACTACTTCTTAGTTCCCTTCCTGATAGTTGGGAGACACTAGTTGTTACTCTCAGCAACTCAGCTCCAGATGGCAAACTTACCATGTCTGTGGTCAAGGATGCACTGTTCAATGAGGAGGCAAGAAGGAAAGACATGAGCACAGATGAGACTCATGCCCTTGTGACGGAGAATAGAGGAAGATCACAAGGAAAACAACAAAGAAACAGTAGAGGGAAATGGCAAAGCAGAGGCAAAAGTCGGGGGAGATCATCAGATGGCCGGAAACCTTCTTATACCTGCCACCATTGCGGGATAGAGGGTCACATGAAGAAGAATTGCTACAAATTGCTAGAGGAGCGAGGCAAGAGCAATTCTCAAGCGAAGAACAAGGGTGGTGAAGCGCTCATCACAATCTCAGGTGATGTGGCGTATTGTACTGCCAATGATGAAACATGCCTTCACGTCTCAAGAGAGGACACTGAATGGGTGGTAGATACTGCAGCATCCTACCACGTTACTCCCCACATGTACTACTTTACAACTTACAAAGCTGGAGACTTTGGAGCAGTGAAGATGGGTAATTCCAGTTCATCTGAAATAGCTGGAATTGGTGATGTACAAATAAAGACGAGTTCTGGGAGCACAATCACTTTGAAGGATGTCAGACATGTTCCAGACCTTCGTCTCAATCTCCTGTCAGTGGTATGTCTTGACGAACAGGGATATGAAAACCACTTCAATAGGGGCACCTGGAAAATGTCAAAGGGCGTTTTGACAATCGCTCGAGGACATGTTTGTGGCACATTGTACAAAACTCATTTGAGGATTTGTACAGATAGCCTCAATATTGCTGAGGAGATTACTCAGAATCTGTGGCATCTGAGGCTCGGCCACATCGGTGAGAAAGGGTTGACTACCTTGATGAAGAAGAACCTTATCAACATCGACAAGAACGTTGCACTGAGTCCTTGCAGTCATTGTCTGTTTGGTAAGCAACACAGAGTATCATTTAATTCTACTTCAACTAAAAGATCGGAGTTGTTAAGTTTGGTACACTCCGATGTCTGTGGTCCTTTCGAGGTGGAATCAATCGGTGGAAGCAGATATTTTCTGACTTTTATCGATGATGCTTCTCGGAAAGTGTGGGTGTATTTCCTGATTACGAAGGATCAGGTTTTTGAGTGCTTCAAGACATTTCACGTCTTGGTGGAACGTGAAACAGGAAAGAAGCTAAAATGTCTCCGATCTGATAATGGAGGCGAGTATACTTCCAAGGCGTTCGATGCATATTGTAGAGAATATGGCATTCGACATGAGAAGTCAGTACCACGCACCCCTCAGCACAACGGCGTTGCTGAAAGAATGAACCGGACTATCATGGAGCGTGTCCGGAGCATGCTGAATATGGCTAAACTTCCGAAGTCATTCTGGGGAGAAGCAGTCAACACCGCATGCTATCTTATCAACCGATCACCTTCAGTACCACTGAACTTTGAAGTTCCAGAGAGGCTATGGACAGGTAAGGATCCTACATACTCACATCTTAGAGTATTTGGTTGTTCATCGTATACACATGTATCCAAAGAGCTCAGGCAGAAGCTCGATGCAAGAACTATCCCATGCATTTTCGTTGGCTATGGAAATGAAGAGTTTGGATACAGGCTATGGGATCCTAAGGAGAAAAAGGTGTTCAGAAGTAGGGATGTTGTGTTCCACGAAGATTTGACAATAGAAGACATTGAAAAACCCACAATGTCTCGGAAGTCAAATGAGGGTGTTCAAGTTTCAAATGAAGTACCAGAAGAGGACAAAGTGCATGAAGATAACTCTGAAGCAGAAGAAGACGAGGAGACAGAAGAGAGTGCAAGGCAAGGGGAGACACAATCCACCCCGTCAGACACAGATGATGGTAGCTCTTCTCAGATGGTTCCTACTGTTCGTAGATCTGAACGAGGGCATATACCATCGACAAGGTACACATCATCTGAATATCTTTTGTTAACTGAAGATGGAGAACCAGAGAGTTTTCAAGAAGCTGTATCTCATAAGGATAAAGAAAAATGGCTAATAGCAATGCAGGATGAGTTAGAATCTCTGCAGAAAAATCAAACTTATGAGATCGTAGAACTTCCTAAAGGGAAGAAGGCACTGAGGAACAAATGGGTGTTCAAGCTGAAGAAGGATGCAAACGGACAAGTGGTGAAACACAAAGCTCGGTTGGTTGTCAAAGGGTTCCAGCAGAAGAAAGGAATTGACTTTGATGAGATCTTTGCACCAGTTGTCAAGATGACCTCGATCCGAATTATACTTGGCTTAGCAGCAAGTATGAACTTGGAGCTTGAACAGATGGATGTGAAGACAGCATTTCTTCACGAAGATTTGAAAGAAGAAATCTATATGCAGCAGCCGGAAGGTTTTGAGAACTCAAATGATAATTTTGTGTGTAAATTATCTAAGAGTTTGTATGGCTTGAAGCAGGCACCAAGGCAGTGGAATAAGAAGTTTGACTCATGCATGAAGAGTCAAGGCTACAAGAAGACTACTGCAGATGAGTGTGTATACATCAAGAAACTTCCAGACGGTACCTTCATTGCTCTTCTACTATATGTAGACGACATGTTGATCGTTGGGAAAGATGCAGTGAAGATAAACCAACTCAAGAAAGAACTCTCTAAGTCTTTTGATATGAAAGACTTAGGACCGGCTCAACAGATTCTTGGGATGCAGATCACTCGAGACAGGAAGAATCGCAAGTTATGGCTATCTCAGGAGAAGTACATTGAACGAGTACTTGAGAGATTCAACATGAATGATGCCAAGCCAGTAAGTGTTCCACTTGCGAATCACTTCAAGTTGAGCAAAAGAAC